GATATGAGGTTATAATTCATCTTTGGCCAATAAGGTTCAAATGAAATAAAATGTAATATGACATTCTCTCTTAATAATAATTGTGGTAATACATTTTAGTTCTTAAACTTCTTCCCTTTCTGTACACATTCTTCCAAGTTCATCCCATGCCTACAAGTTCTTTGACGTCTTTTCCCAGCATCCACCCTTGCCCCCAGAAGCTCCTCTGCAGTCACAGCCCCACCATTTTGGAGTAACAAGTAAAAATGTTCCTTCCTAATGGTCTCTACATCAAAAGCCTCTTGCCTACATGCACCTATATGAGCTAGAAAATATTAGGAGTTAGATGGTATTATTGCATATAGAAGAAAGAAGACAAAGAACAAGCTTTATCTACTCTAATTTATGGTGCTATCTCCATTCTCCCCAATCTATCAGTCCCTCTCCACTTCTCTGGCTCTTAACTCCCTTGCACTCTCTGTCCTTTCACCACACCCACCAGCAAAACTAAACAAACAAGAACTAAAATGAAAATTTCACTAGAGGGGCTCAGTAGCACATTTGAGCTGGCAGAAGAAACGATAGGCAAACTTGCAGATAGACAATTGAGCATATCTAGTCTGAGCAACAAAAAAGAAATGAGGAAAAATGAACAGAGCCTCAGAGACAGACCATCAAGCCTATAATGCATAATGGGAATACCAGGAGGATAAGAAAAAAAGGGACAGAAAGATTATCTAAAGAAAAGATGGCTGAAAACTTCCCAAATTTGATGAAAAACATTAACTGGACTAGGGACAGTAGTTCATACCTATAACCCAGTACTTTGGGAGGCCAAGGTGGGAAGATCAGTTGAGGCCAGAAGTTAGACACTAGCCTAAAGAGCAAGACTCCGCCTCTACAAAAACTAGAAAAATTAGTCAGCCATGGTGGTGTATGCCTCTACTCCCAGCTACTTGGGAGGTTGAGGCAGGAGGATGGCTCAAACCCTGGAGTTAAAGGTTGCAGTGAGCTATGGTGATGCCACTGCACTCTAGCCCAGGAGACAGAGCGAGACCCTGTCTCAAAAAAAAAAAAAATTAATCTACACATCCAAGAACCTCAACACACTCCAAGATAACTCAAAGAGATCTACATCTAGACACATCATAGTCAAATTGTCAAAGCTGACAACAAAAAGAGAATCTTGAAATCAGCAAGAGAAGAAAAAAAAACCTAATGTTATAATGGATTCTCAAGATTAACAGTTGATTTCTTATCAAAAACCATGGAGGCCAGAATACAATGGGATGACATAGTCAAAAATGTGAAAGCAAAAGACTATCAACCAAGAATTCTTTTTATTTTTTTATTTTAGCGTATTATGGGTGTACAATTGTTAAGGTTACATATATTGTCCATGCCCCTCCCCCCCTTAACAACCAAGAATTCTATATCCAGCAAAACTATTCAACAAAAATGAAGGAGAGGTGGGTAAAGATAGAAAAAAGAAAAAATTAAGACATTCCCAGATACAAAAATTGAGAGAATTCATTACTAGTACACATTCTCTACAAAAAAGTACTAAAGAAAAACTTTCAGCTAAAATGAAAGGACTCTAGATAGTAACTCAAATCCACACAAAATATAAAGAACACTTATAAGGGTAATGACATAGGTAAACAGAAAACAATGGCATACATGTATTTTTTGCTTGTAACTCTTTTCTTCTATATGATTTAAAGAACAAATGCATAAAACAATAATTATAAAACTGTATTAGTAGGCTTAATGTGTAAGTTATACATATATAGCCATTGTGCAATAATATCCATGCTAAACTCATGGCAAAATCCTTATCATATTTGGGCTAAGTAGTTAGGGCAGCAATAAAATACTATTCAATCTAGAAACTGCACACCTTCTAAAGTTCTAAAAGGCAAAAATCTCAGTAAAAACAAAAAGGCTGTCTCTGACATTAAGAGGTAAGTTTTTCCATCACACTCCAAATATACATAAAGATACACACACACACACACACACGGATTCCTCAGCACATAGACGTGTCTCTGTTTCAAGAAGGACATCTACAATTGGGTTCCCATTTCCTATTAATCAATACCTTAAATATCAGCTATTTACCGAATTAACTCACAGAAGGTAAGGCTGAAAAATGCTATTGTAAATTATGGTACTCTCAGATGGCAAAACAGCACACCAATGATATTTATATTGGTTGATATAATAATGTATAAGAATTCTAGGCTGGGCACAGTGGCTCAAGCCTATAATCCTAGCACACTGGGAGCCCGAGGCAGGTGGATTGCTCGAGGTCAGGAGTTCGAAATCAGCCTGAGCAAGAGCGAGACCCCGTCTCCACTATAAATAGAAAGAAATTAATTGGCTAACTAAATATATATATACATATTAAAAAAAATTAGCCGGGCATGGTGGCACATGCCTGTAGTCCCAGCTACTCAGGAGGCTGAGGCAGGAGGCTCGCTTGAGCCCAGGAGTTTGAGGTTGCTGTGAGCTAGGCTGACGCCATGGCACTCACTCTAGCCTGGGCAACAAAGTGAGACTTTGTCTCAAAAAAAAAAAAAAAAAAAAAAAAGAATTCTAAGAAGCTAAAAATCACTTATCAAATACTTATTCTGGTAAGGCATTATAAACACCACTTTATAATTAATGGAACACCCTCAAATTGAAATTTCTCAAATAATAATTTTATATCCTAAAGCAAACTTAAACTCATGGACCACTAGTAGAACTTTTTAATTCTATTCATTCAGTTATTTATTCAAGAAACACTTATGGGGCACTTGCTATATGTCAGGCATTGTTCGAGGAACTAGGAATAAAAAGATAAGGACTCTTTCCCCCTCCTCACTACTGCACTTGACTAGTCTTAAAAAAAAAAAAAAAAAAAAAGATAAGGACTCTGACCTTTAGAGTATACACAGTTCAGGGAGAAGCTCCCATTCTGGAATCAAAGAACTTATGAGAAGAAGGGACCTAATAGCTCCCTTATTTCACATATAAGGAAACTGGGACTCATCACTAACTTAGCCACTAAGACAGACAGATATCCAGGTCTACAACTTCTGCCACATGTGTGTGTGCCATATTTTTTTTTTTTTTTTGAGACAGAGTCTCGCTTTGTTGCCCAGGCTAGAGGACCATGGCATCACCTAGCTCACAGCAACCTCCAAACTCCTGGGCTCAAGCAATCCTGCTGCCTCAGCCTCTGAGTAGCTGGGATACAGGCATGCGCCATAATGCCGGCTCATTTTTTCTATATATATTAGTTGGCCAATTTAATTTCTTTCTATTTATAGTAGAGACGGGGTCTCACTCTTGCTCAGGCTGGTTTCAAACTCCTGACCTTGAGCAATCCTCTCGCCTCAGCCTCCCAGAGAGTTAGGATTACAGGCGTGAGCCACTGCGCCCAGCCTCCATACTTTTTCTTATGACTAAAAGTGATGAAGGTGTGTTTCCATATGAGTGAAGCAGACCATGGAACTGAGGGCAACATACACAATAGCTATTAAATTAGTGACAGAAATCCCTAATGTATATGAACAACATAAACAATTATTTAATAATTGTTAAATAACAATGATTTAAATAAATATCTAGCAATTTAGAGAGAAATCCCTAATAGATGTGATATCATGACAAAGCCCTAATTATCAATTTACTGAAGAACTAAAATAAGATAATATAAGAGTAAGCCTTCTGGCTGGGCGCAGTGGCTTACACCTATAATCCCAGCAGTCTGGGAGGCTAAAACAGAAGAATTGCTTGAGGCCAGGAATTCAAGACCAGCCTGAGCAACAAGGCAAGATACTCTCTCTACAAAAAGTTTAAAAATTAGCCAGGTGTAGTGGCATGCACCTGTAGTCCCAGCTACTTGGGAGGCTAAGGCAGAAGGATTGTTTGAGCAAAAGAGTTCAAAGTTGCAGTGAGCTGTGATAGTGCCACTGCACTCTAGCCTGGCTGACAAAATGAGACCCTGTCTCTTAAAAAAAAAAAAGAGTAAGCCTTCTAAGCCATAATTATGGTTTTGCCTCTGTTTTCTGATCTGTAAAATAAGGATATTGTGAGTACTTGTTTCAGAGGATTATTGGGAAATTTAAGTGAATACTTGAAAGCACTTAGTAAGCTTGATACCTAGTAAACACTTAGTAAATGTTTCATATTCTTATGAACAATCATTTATTAAATGTACTGGTGTGTTATATAACAACTAAAAAAAAGAAACTAGCTTGCTTTCTCATTTATTTGTTTTTTATTTTTTTAAGACAGTGTCTGGCTCTGTTGCCAGGGCTGGAGTACAGTGGACTCATCATAGCTCTCTGCAACCTCAAACTCCTTGCTGGGCTGAAGCAATCCTCCTGCCTCAGTTGCTCAGCCTCCAGAGTAGCTCAGGTGGGATGTACCATGACACCCAGCTAATTTTTCTATGTTTTGTAGAGACAAGGTCCCTCTATGTTGGCCCAGGCTGGTCTTGAACTGCAGATCTCAAACAATTCTCCCACCTCAGGCTTCCAAAGTGCTCTGATTATAGGTGTGAGCCACTATGCCTGGCTGAAATTATCTTTCTTTAAAAGATTATCTTATTACTATGATGGTCTTATTTTTCTGGGAACTAACAGAATCTATCACTAAATTGTATTTTTCACTAAAAGTATTTAAAATGTTAAGATTTAATAATATGACCCCTTTCTCTATAAAGATATATATCAGCCTTAAAATTACAGAAATATAAACATTAATTAAAATAATTAAGCATATTCCATAATTTTAATTAATCAAATCATTTCAGTATTTCTAAGATTATAGATCTTAAATATTAACAGAATGTTCAAAGATGACTTTCAAGTAATTAAAGTTTGTACAGATTTTCTCATTCTACTTAAACTAACTAACATATGGGAAATAACCATGCATTATGTACATTAATGAAAGTCTTTTAATATAAAATAAATAATTGCCCAATATCAATAATAAAGTAAATAACTGTATTTATATCCACTTACTGCAATCTCTCTACAAGCCGACATGGATATTCCTGTGCCTTCAATTTGCTTCAATGCATATTCCTTTTCATCTTTTCTGCACATAAACAAAAAAATATTTTTATTTTTCCACATATTACTTTCAAATTCAAATTTATAACTTTAAAAACAATGGAAACACACTTAATTTCTCAGTGATATGTAAATACTGTCACTATGCCACATATTGCTTATTATTTTTGATAATATTTCAACTAGAGAAATATGAAATACCAAAAGAAATTCATGTCACAATGAAAACACCAGACAGAGCCAAAACAAAAAATTCAAAATTGAAACAGAACAGGATACTAAACACAGCACTAGTTTCAAAGAATAAACAAGCATAAATATAAACTCAAACATATTGCAAGATAATTCCACTCCTGTCTTAATTATCTGGAGTCTATGAAAGCATTCTGTTATAAACATTCACTACAAAAATAACTGACAGACATAAACTCCCAGAAGCATTTAAAGTAATTTCATTGTATAAGAAGCATTTATAAGGATGAGAACCCACTAAAATGCTCTGGTTCTCACCTAGGATGGGGACATTCAAAAGCCCCAGGACCTCAATCAAAAGCCTTTAAAACTGGATGAATGACCAGGACAAAAAAAAAAAAAAGCCTTTAAAAGATTTCAAAATTCAAGCCACCACCAACACATTCTCAGGAACTCTAGGAGAAACCCGGTAGTTAGAGGGGATTTTCCAAACAATAGATACAGGATTAGGAATTCTAGGAAATCCCAATAGGTACCAGGGTGCTTAACCAAGAGAAGACAGGAGTTCAATAATGGTGGTATATCGTATAAAAATATTAATAGTTATCAGATGAGTGGCTAGCGCATCACAGAGAGTATCCTCAGAGTACTGACACCAGAACCAGCCACACAAAGGCCCCAGCTGAATGCCATAAATGTGGTTCACATTGTGGCTTGTACTTAAAACAGGGGTATAATCCATGCCCTCCAAGTTTTTTTTTATAGCTATTCTTCATTTTCCCCATCCTGTGGTTATTAACAGATAAAGTAGTTTAAGATGTTATTCATAATGTGCATTTTTTTTTTTTTTGAGACAGAGTCTCGCTTTGTTGTCCAGGCTAGAGTGAGTGCCGTGGCATCAGCCTAGCTCACAGCAACCTCAAACTCCTGGGCTCAAGCGATCCTTCTGCCTCAGCCTCCCGAGTAGCTGGGACTACAGGCATGTGCCACCATGCCCGGCTAATTTTTTTTTATATATATATCAGTTGGCCAATTAATTTCTTTCTATTTATAGTAGAGACAGGGTCTCGCTCTTGCTCAGGCTGGTTTTGAACTCCTGACCTTGAGCAATCCGCCCGCCTCGGCCTCCCAAGAGCTAGGATTACAGGCGTGAGCCACCGCGCCCGGCCCATAATGTGCATTTTAAAACATCATTTTTACATGCCTTTTGAAGATTTTCACACTTATCTATGATTGGAGCAAATACCTGAGTTATGGTTACTTTCTCCCACAATCAGTTTGAAAATTATATCCATGTTTCTTCCAATACATGGCATTCAGGAAATAATTAAGCAGCATTTTGATAAACAGAAAACATACTAGATATGTCAACAGGATAGACTGCAAAGCAATTATTAAAATGATGGCCTTGAGGGTCATTAGAAACACACAAATTATACTATATAGAAAGTTACATTAACTAACTTTAGTGCTACTGTTATATTATTGCCTTTTAAATTAGAATTAGGAGGAAAAAGAAAAAAAAAACAACAAAATAATTTGACACTCTGAAAATCCTGCTAAAACAATCTTAAGTATTTTCAAAGTGATAGTTTAGGCATATTTTAAAGAACAAAGTAAAAAAAATAGGGAAAAATTTAAGTGATCATTTTTTTCCCTTTTCATCCATCCTGCTTCCTCCCAAACATAAAACTAGACGTTTTCCAGACCACTCAGAAGCCACAAGCAGCAAGTGACTGAATGTAATTAAAGCCAAATGGCCCCCTCTACCTTAAATGTATGTGTGGGTAACGGAAGGAATGAGAGCACATGTGCCTAAGATGCTCCAACACAATGCTCACAATGTAAATTTTATACATTTAATAATTAAATTAACCACCAGATATCTACTGCTAAATAAATAAGTTTTAGTAAATTCTTAAAACAAAATCATAAAAGCTTTCTGAAAAATTTCTCACATGAAACCATAATTTTTTTCAACAGAAATATTTCAATCCCTAGTTCCCCTAAATGAAGCACTCCAGAAGCTCATGTAATTGCATAGTTTTATTTTTAATACTGTAAAGAATATTATACAATCTGGATATGTTATCGTTGCTATGGAAACTATAAGATCTTTGCAGTAAGTCAAAAAGTGCAAAATTAACACATCAAATTAATGGCTTTTGAATTTCACATCAAGGCTGTCAAAGGAATTTGAAAGCTTGAGCAGAACAGACTGAAGCATGGGCCTTTTACTCTGAGTTTTATGGGTAGGAACATGGAATAAACCCAGTAATTATTTCACTTAATAAGTTTAAATATAACTTCCATCTGTTAAATTAATAAAGTACTCAAAAATCTGCAATTTTAAGATTTGCAACGTTTAAACTGAGAACGAAAGAAAGTACATATGTCATTACGGTTTTTCTTTGTGCACTGTCAGATGGTAAGCAGTGATGTGGCATCTCTGAGGTTCACCATATGAAGAAGGGGCAAGGTCCCACAGGGCATATGGGACTCCTTGGCACTGTACTATGTCAATGCCAATCTTTGGGCAGATGCCAGTGCCTTAGTACAAAGACTAAAGATGCATCCTTTACCACAATGCCCAGAAATACTTCAATGACTAGGCACCTAGGGAAAGGATGCTTAATTGCTCTCATCCTATGGGAGTGCCCCTCTCCAGGAGTTCCTCCAAGTGGTGTAGCAATTCATACCCTACAGCTTAGATATTTCAGCTACACATAACATGAAGTATCATAAAAATATAATTTCTTCTTTTACATGACAAGGCTGAAAAGCAAATGAACCTGACTTGCACTGTTATGATAGCCGGCTTTTTTAAGGTAGCTTAGTTCTTCCTTAAAACTCATTTCCTTTCATTTCTATGTAACGTAAAGGCAGACAAAGCCATTACAAAGCCTTTAGGGAATCTGCTTTCTATACTTTAGCATTTATTAGACAGTATGTTTGAAGCAACAGCATATTGAAGATAATCAAAGTTTACTAAATAAATCCAGGAAAATTAAAATATATATATTTGTAGTATAAGCATGATATATGCTATACAGAATTTTTCAAATATGCTATACAGAATTTTTCAATACAAAGACATTTTTCCTACATGTCCATAAGGTATAGCAACACTGTGTAAACTTCACTCTCACCAGTCACAATGAAAAACAATTTATTCAATGGGAACATTATGTAATGACAAAACAGAAAGTAAATTTGGTAGATTCTATTAGATCTTCCATCTGAGACACTATATTCTAGGAAATTCTAGAATATAGAATTTATATTCTATTAGATGATTCTACTAGGCCTTTCATCTGAAGCAATATATTCTCAAAAGTTCTTTTTTTTTTTGAGACAGAGTCTTACTCTGTCAACCTAGGTAGAGTACAGTGGCATCATCGTGGCTCACTGCAACCTCAAACTCCCAGGCTCCAGTCATCTTCCTGCCTCAGCCTTCCAAGTAGTAGCTGGGACTACCAGTGTACACGACCATGCCCAGCTAATTATTTCTATTTTTGGTAGAGACAGGGTCTTGTTCTTGCTCAGGCTGGTCTCGAGCTTCTGAGCTCAAGCAATCCTCCCACGTCAGCCTCTCAGAGTGCTAGGATTACAGGCATATGCCGCCACACTCAGCCTCAGAACTCCATTTGTTACAGTCATAATTAAAACGGCCCAAGGCTCTTTGGCTCCTATTAATACTACTACCAGATATCCAGCCCTGGGCCATATTTGATCCTAAGGACCTATAGCAGACAAAACATTTAGAAGTGTCTTTTAAGAAAACATGATGGAATTCAAGCTCAAGCAAGGCTGAAGGAAAAGTCTTCAAACTAATAGAATTAAAGTCCTTTTTTGTTTCTAGTGAAAACAGAAGAGCCTTATTATTTTATATCAATTAACAAGTACTGAGTACATATTACCTGTCTCAACACTGTGCCAAACGCTGGGATGAACAAAATTAGAGACTGACTACCCTAGATATCAGAGACTTCACAATCCACCCGGGAAGGGATTCTAAGTGAGCACAAAGTACAAATGAGTAACCCTGATACACTCCCCACCCTAGGAGATATGCACAACAGGCAGACAGAGAAAACAACTAACAATTCTTCAGAGTTTTAAGGAAGGTAACTCAATGAATTAGGCCTTTAAGGGAGGTGTTGCCCAGAGAAGGGACAAGGTCAGAGAATTCTAGATAGAAGTATGGCATAAGAAAAATAACAGAGGCATATTCAGGAAATGGCTGATATTCAGTATGGCTGGAAAGCCAGGTGTGTGATGATGAGAGGCAAGTGATATGGTTAGAGAAGTAAAGGAAAGGGACCATGTGAATCCTACAAAGAAGTTTTCTATTTCATATGTAAACAGTGAGGAGTCAAAGGTTTTTGGAACAAAGAAGGTACATTATAACAGATCCTTGCTCAGAAAGATAACTGTGGTAACTATAGGGAAAAAATGTTGACAGAGCAAACATTTGGTAGGTTGTATCAAATGTCCAGATAAGAAAAGATGAAGTGCCAGATTAGAATAGTAGCAAAGGAGAAGAAATAATGGATTCAAAAGACACTTCTAAGTCAGAACTGACAGAATTTAGAAACCAATTTGATTCTATGTCTGAAGGAGAAGATGACTCTGAAGATGGACAGAGTTTTCACTTTGTCTAATTGTGTGAATGATAACACCATTAAACAGAGAAATGATGGCATGACCTAAATGGGGAGTGGAAACATAAGGTTTTATTCTAAAGGCAATGAAAATTACATATGATTGTTTATCTTATTAGAAAGGATTTTCAATGGCAGCTTATACTTAAAAAAAAAACAACAGAAAGGA